TGTTACGAGATAGTATTTGATTTTAATGAAATAAAAATAACTAATTATTAAATATATAAAGTTATGATGTAATATAACAATCAATAAAATAAACTAAAAAAAACTAGCCACTCCACTGGGATTTCAAGTAAAAAAAAAAATCTCTATAGGTATTTTTATTTCTTCAATTCCTTGAATATTACGAGATTACGGGGTGCCGAAAATAACCAAATTTTAAAGATCACAATGTAGCTTTCACAAAAATGTAGCATCATGACCGACATACTGAAAGCCTCTAGTTTTACTTATAACCGACATATTTCGCAACCGAGATATTTCGCAATGGCAACAAATTTCGGACACACTATACAGGGTGGCCCGTTTATGAGACACCACTAACTAGAAGAGATTGAACAAAAAGTTAAATACAAAAGTACTTCAAGGTTTAGTCTTAGCGACCACCAACGTTTCGGAATTATTGACCTTCATCTTCATTTTTGTCCCGATATTTAAAGTGATTTATCTAAGGCATTTCAATATCGTTCCAACATCGTTTTGCGTATAAAAAAGATGCTCTTGTCGTTTATTTGTTTTGCCAAACTTATATTTTTGAATGAAAAAAATCTATTGATTTTTTTTGCAATTTATAAAATTGGTACAATTTAACAGGCTGCACTTCGGGAAAACTGAACCACTGAGAGCTATATTCACGGTGGCAGAAAGTAAACAACGGATCCGAAACGAACTTTATATCCGATTGAATTGCAAATTACAAATGCATTATTATATCTAAAGCATTTTAGAATTAATTAAATATTTCATTTGGGCTATAATGTTACTTGACTTGTCATTTTGATTTTAACTGCGGACTTCCCATAAAATACTTATTCATTATTACTTCGTATGTAAAGTCTTTAACATTTGATACCATTTTTAGGTTTTCATCCATTCAAGTATATTCGTAAGCTATAGGATCGAGGAGGCGGTGAAATGTGATCCTTGGGCATTTTGAGAGATTGGGAACAATACGTTCTAAATCATCCTGTAAACGAACCTGATTTTCTGATTTTTACGACTTTGAATAATCGAGGAAACCTTTAGGTCATCAGCAAAAAGACGGTAATTAGCATTATGGAAACAGGCATATTATTGGTAATTGTGAGAAAGAATAGCGGCCATAAGTAAGGGCCCTGAGGGACCCCCGGAAGTGGCTAGAAAAGCCTCTGACAAGTAATTTCCAAGTTTAACAACCTGACGACGACCCCCCAGATATTATTCCTACGCCATACAGTTAATCAAGCAGCACTGCATGATTCACCTTATCAAACGCTTTGCAAAAATCTGCGTAAACAGTGTCAAAAGCACCAGCGATTGAGTCCGCGTACGTAATTAAATTCAAAATTGTTGACCGATTGAAAGCCATATTAATTATGTATAATTGTATTTTTGAAACAGGGAGTTAATAATTGTGTTATTAAGTTTTCGAACAACTTTGGTATGGCACTTAATATGGATCCAGGTCTTCAATTTGTAACATGTTGTCTTATAAATGCGAATAATGTAACATGTTTTCCAGTAGTCTGGAGAAAATACCCAAATGCAGTGATTCATTAAAAATGAGATATAGAGATCTCACCAAGACGAAGGCACAGCATCGGAGAGATGTTCCGTCGGGACCAGGTCTCTCATTGGCATTGTGTATACTCAGTTCGGCGTAAATCTCAGAAACGGATATTCGATGTTCCATGTTTAAATAATTTTTTCTACTCCCGTCTATAAAATACCTAATTACACACCGATCTAGCGTGCAGGAAGCGTCACTTTACCGCATCAATTTCGTTTCCCATGAATCCAAGCGACTTCGGACATTTCCGGGATTTTACTGCACGGACTTGGGAGCAATCGGATGTTTTCGGAGATATTTCCCACGCTTTGAATTTTGACGTTTGTCAATTCTGACGGTCATGTCAGTGAATATATTCATGTTGTTTTGCGAAAATGTACCCAAAAACTAACAGTCGTAGAAAAAGTAAAGTATGCAACACGTTCGGTAAACTTTTTAACTCACTCGTTTATTAAAAATTCGTGAGTCAAATGTTTACCGCGCTTGTTGCATAATACACTATTAACTTAACTGAACGGGGGGAGTAAAGTTTTTGTTCACATATATAGCTTTGAAATAATCCTCAATAAATTCGCTGCACCAGAACCTATTTCAACCTTAGTATTGTTACATCTAAAGAGATTTGCCAGAACATAAGTCCTGCGCCGTGCATTTATAAAGTTTCAAAATAATTTAATATTTTCTGAGAGAGTCGACTCTGTATTCTGAACAAACTTTCGGTATGCTGAGCAAAACAGATTTCGGTTAGTTTTTTTAGTATATTTTTTACCGTCTGCTGCTACTACGCACTTATCAATTTTTACTATTAGTATTATTAAAAAGCAAAAGGCTGGCATGAGCAGGGCTCGTAAATAGAGCCGAGAGTAGAGATTTCGGAACTATTTGTAAAGGCAGTCTAAATGCAAGAAGAAAATATATTTAAATATTACTGAAATGTACCTAGTATAAAAGAACACCTGATAATTTGTTATTTTTTAAAATAAGCTAAATAAATAATTTTCAATAGAATGGTTTATTAGAAAGATTTTTGTTTATTGCTGTTTTAAGAAAATACTTAGTTGCGTGCTGTTGAGCAGTTGTATTTTGTGCCAGCACAAATACAATTAATTATTAAAATTTCTGAAATTAATAGATCTATTCTTGCGTAAACTATGAATAAATGCGTTATTTAAAAACATTTTATTTAAACAACGTCAGTCAAATGAATGAGCAACAAATAAGCAAAACATCAGAGGCAAAACATTTTTTTTTATAGTAAGTGATGAAAATGCCTGCCTTGCAATATAATTGAGTCCCGAATATTTGCCTGGACTATTTCTTTTCACTACATTTCAACACGCAATTATCCTATTTCTAAGGTCTTCATCCTCTATTAGGGTAATATAGATTAATTCTATTAGATAGTCCAAGATACATTTAAGATGAAATGCACTCTGAGATCATCGTATATTTAGTACATGTCTCTTCTAGTTGATATTTTCTGGCAAAGGGCGTAATTCTTTTTATAAGAAGCAAATATAAGACTCACCAGAGTATAAGAGTATTAAATTGGATCCCTTGAGAAACTAGCTTCGCCGAAAAATATTTTTGAATAAAAAAAAGGATCGCCGACATTCATTCAACGAAACCATCCACGGTTAGAAATCTCTTACGCGGTATGGATATTAACTGTTGTTCTTTTAATGTCAATAATATGGAGCAGCACAATAGCTTCTAATTAGAACTTTTTTTTTATCTGGACATGCAATGCTTTGGATTTCATTTGTTTATTTGTACTACGAAAAAATTGCAATAGGCAAAAGTTTCTATTTAAAACATAAAATGGAAAAAGTAATTTGTTTAGATCATTGCATAAGTTTTTCCTCAAATTTAGTTAAGATGAGTGATAGAGATAGTAAAGTGTGTCTTTATAATAGTATTCTTTCTGTGATACTTTATTGTTTTCTTCTCTTTTCGTTTTTTAAGATAGAACAAAAACTGTCTGTCGTATTTGTAACGGAACTTTTATGCAACAAACTAACCTTTATTTTAAATAAAAAATCACTCCCTTAAATATTTCTCATTTGTTTTGAAACTGTGGACAGCGAATTCGAGGAACTTTAGCTACCATATACAGGATGTCCAAATAGTATGTATAAATAATGTGTATATATGTGTATATTACTAAAAGAACCATATTAAAATTATTTTCAAATATGTCGAAAACAAAACTTATATATTTTTTAAATGAAACAGCCTGTATAGTATTGCATTGGTAGATACTTCCTGTTATACTCAATCAATAGAAATCTGAAAATTTATGTTTAATACCTTATATTTTTGACGCGGTTTCAAACAGTTGTAATTTTATTATGCCAAAAATTTTATAAAGTGACACAGTCGTTTTTCCTATAGTATTTTCAACGATGGTTTACATCCTTTATACAGGGTGAGTCAAAAAGAAAAATATTAATTCTCCCTGTACTTGCACAAATTACTCCTATTAATGCTCTTTCAACTTTATTAAGCATTTCCTATATCTAAACTGTGCGAAAATGTCACAAAAGATGGAAAACAAAATAAATACTACCTAAACGTGAAAAGTGTACAGAAGCAAATTAAGTATAATTCTTTCAGATAATAGCATTCGTTCCATATTAATACAACATGTAAGGTGGAAATAATTTATTAAATCCGAGATTTAAATAAACGGTTTTTAAACGATTGGGCAGTATTCCCTAGAATTTTATCTCTAAAACTTTAACAAGCTTCTCTTATCCTCTGTTTCATGTCCTCTTTTTTTGTGGGGGCAGTTTTATACACATGATTTTTAACATATCCTCACAGAAAATAGTTCATCTTTGTTAGATTAGATGATCTAAGTGGCCATCTACAGTCACTATAGGTCCTAATGTCATGATCCATTAAAATATTATACAAGTATGATTTTTCACATATTTATGAATATTGACAATACTTTTAATTTTTTTCTTTTAATCTCATATATAATTTCCGTGTTTAACACTTTCCACTACAAAAAATAATGAAAGAAATGTATTGCTTTGACGCACAATAAATAAAGAACATTTTTCAAATAATTGCCGATCACAAAGCCGCGAATTTTTACTGCTAAATAACCTTTCTCGAAACTTTGATCTGTCGTTTTTTCGTCTAGCTATACGGCTGTTAATGGTACACAAGTTATATAGAAATGAAAGAGGCATGTAAAATGAAGTCCTTGAACTAGGAAGGTTGAATCCCCGATAACATTTTTTACTTTTTGGTGGAAATGTTTAAATAGCCTTGTGGGTTGTCGTAGATACATGTAGACCAATGGAGCGACTAAAATTATCTATATGTAATTAACGCAAAAATTATTAACCTGCGCGCCTGCCATATAATTAACTGAGCCTATAAACAACTTAGTTGGCAGTGCTACAGCGAACTAGTGGGATCGCCGTAATTTGCGTAGTTCCGCATGAAGACGAATTTGGGTGCGTATTTAGTACCTACGTGTTGAGTAGGGTTGGTTTGTAATTATATCCTTGTTTCTCCTAATTGTTGTAACGTTTTAAAAGATGGAAAGAGGTACAGTCCTCTGCAGATATCATTTTTTTTATATTTTTTAGGGTGAGTTGAAAAGATTGGTCAATCCGTTAATCACAATGAAATTATTACGAATTTCATTAAGTGTGTTTTTTTTTCGAGCCCCGTTTTGTAAAATACGCGACCTTGAATTTTACTTCAAAAATAACATTTTTATTTAAAAATATTCCAGTTTTTCAAGTAGTTTTTGGTATGTTTAATTGCGAAGACAACACTTTTCACATTAATTGTGTACAGGGTGAGTCAACGATAGAATAAAGTTCATTATTTCATTGGTTTCGAAAGTTATGATAAAATGGTAAATGCAAAAGTTGTGAAGATTGTTAGGATGCACATTTTAAAATTATTTTAAAGTATACAGCAGGACTCAGAAAAGCGTGAAAAATAAAACATACGTTTCTTTAAATGGAACACCCCATTTTTACGTTCACTATAGAAGTCGTTTTGAAATTCTTCAACTTTTTACATACCTAAACCTAACAGTTTTTCCTATATTTGAATTTTATAAAGATTGTTAAGATGCTAAATTTAAAATTATTTTAAAGTATACAGGGCTGTACAAAAAAAACGCGACCAATGAAACATACATTTTTTGAAACGGAACACCCTATTTTTAAATTTTTATTAATAATAATACTTAGAAAAATACTTCACACTTGCAAGAAAATTGCAATAGTGCCATTATTTTTAAAATATGATCAGCGCCTTTTTGAAGTAGATATTACAGGGTGTTCAAAATAAATGAATATATTTGGATCATTTTAAATTGAAAAATCTCGATTTCCTTAAATGGCACAGCGGCATATAATTATGATTTTTTCTGAAAGACCTTACAATAACCTCATGTATTGAGTATATCTCATACGTACTTTTAATACTTTGCCATTTATTTTAACTTTTTCAATATTTACCGTCATTTCTGTACAAGACTATAGTTATAAGGTTAGTTGGCCATGATAAAGTGACATTGTCAAATTTTTACCTGAAAGCTGAGTAGACAAATTCTTAAAATTTATTCTGGTGTCAGTAAATAAAAAAAGAACTAAGAATGGACATTCCTAAAACTGAATTAATATACTCGGCGGAACAAATACTTTGTTGGCAGTATGACTTTACAATTCCGAAATGCTACTAATAAGGAAAAATAATTTTAAGTTGTTCCAGATAATCCCCAAGTTAGTAGCCGTGAAATAAAATAATGTTTTTCGAAGTAATTCAACAGATAATCTATTCTGGGTACGGGTAATGAAAAACGAAAAGCATTGGTTTTATGGAGTGGAATAAAACAGTTCTCAGTTATTCTTCTTCAAGAACTGGAGAACATTGAGATCCAACAAATGTTGGTTACCATGGAGAAGTTAGAGAATTTTTAAATAGTCGTTATCCACAGAAATGGATCAGTAAAGGTTGATTTATTGGATGGCGTCCTCGATAATGTGACACCACTATTTTTTTTTATATGTATTATATTTTACCGTGTTTATGTGAATCTCCTAACAACAGCAGAAGATATGTAAAATAAGATTCCTGACGCGTGCAGAAGAATAATACCGTTAATACCAACTAACGTCCAAGAAAATATACGAAAAAGACTAAACATGTGTATCCAGGTAGAAGGGCAAATTTTGTCAACATATATTGGGTCACATATAGGGTCACAAAAGTGGAAACGAGAAAATGACCTTTATTTTTCGGCAAGTGTTGGAATTTTTTAGGTTTTCTCAACAGCACGTTGAAATTTTGTAATTTTTTTACAAATTTTATCCTCTTAGTACCTCTTCTGGCTTCCAATATCTTCATGATAGATCTCGAAAAATTGATCACAGGGTACCTTATGACAAAATAATTATAATTGCAGCTATGGCGACCAACGTTTAATAAATTAAATTGCAAAAAGGTTTGACCTTTCATAATAATTGTTTAACGGCTTATTTAAGCAATATTTTCCATTTTTTGAAATACATCGACTAACACCACAATCTAAAATTATCAGCGGTATTACCCCAACGAAATAATCAGATATATAACTGTCCGGAACACTATTTTTATGGGACCAAAGCGAGGGCCCGGAGTCGGAACGGATACGCGGATATTCCGGCGAACGTCGCGACGTCGGCACTAGGTTGTTCACGCGGGACAGCGACGCCGGTTACTGACGCCGGCGAGAGCGCCTGATAACACTCCAGACGCCGATTCCAACGCAGCTTTTTCGGTAGCAGCACTGATCGCACCCGATTGCCGCCAATATTCTTAGGGTTGGGCGACGATCATCTTTGTTTACCCCCGCATTTCCCGGAACATTGACGATACCATCAACGCAATTTGACAGATTAGTTGAAAATTCAACCGACTCGGTTTTATTGGATACGCCTCGTTTCCTCTTTAGGTATTTCTTCGCTTTTGGTCTTGCTATCGCTTTTGTTTTCAACGTGCATTATCGCTATGGTTAGTACTATGGTACTAACGTTTCGCCATTCATCTTGTTGGCATCTTCAGAGCTTCAGTCAAGCTCTGAAGAAACCAACAGGATGATTGGCGAAACGTTGGCTATTTTTTCAAAGAAACTTTCACAGGCTACTGTAATACTTTTTACAAAACTTTTGATTCCTCCTGCGTCGTTTTCTGCTGAGCTTGACTGAAACTGGCTCGCATTTTACTCTGTACCTGCTTATATATTGTTTGGAGGGGGCGGAGCTAAATGAGGTTAGGTTGTTTATAGATTTCTATATATAGATTTTTAGTTGCTAGAAGAATTGATTACATGCAAAAATTTTAGTTTTATCGAATAAAATTTTATGTCCGGTTTCGTGATTGTGTTCGGTTAGTCGTAAGGCTCTTTCGTGCTCTTTGAGCTTAGTTCATATTTTTTGTCCGGTTTCTCCAATGTATTCTTTGCCGCATATGCATCGAATGTTGTAAACTCCTGGCATCCCAAATGGAATTTTATCTTTGACGGACCGAAGATGTTGAGAAATTTTTGGGCAAGTGGTAAATCTGGTTTTGACGTTAAACTTTTGATATGTGGTCAATATTTTCAATGTAAGAAAGGACCACAGTGGCATGTGTAGGATTGCCCCATTGCTATTGCAAGGTTGTGGTTAAGTGTATTTTTTTATCGAACGCTTAATATGGAAATTATTATTTATTAAAAATTTATTAAAAATTATTAGAGAGGGGAGCAGACGTAAGGTGTTTTAATTTTGGGTTCAGTTACTCGGGCTGAGATAGTTTATGGCTGTGTAAACAAGAAAGTTGATAGCCGATGATTTTTGACCATGCGTTAAGGTATCAGTCTGTGTGCGTAGGTTTTTCTGTAAACACCATGACCCAATGTTAGGTCTGATTTTCTATTGATAAGAATATCTAAGAATGTTATTATTAGTTTCCAACTTAATGGTAAAACGTATGTTAGGGTGTATAGAGTTTAAATGTCTAAGAAATTCTATTAGGGTTTCTTGACCATGAGACCAAATAGCAAAAGTATCATCGACGTAGTGTTTCCATAATTTTGGTTCTGGATGCAAGGTGTCGAGAGGTTTCTTCTCAAAGAGTTCCATAAATATATTCGCAATGACGGGTGATAGGGGAGAATCCATAGCTGTTCCCGATGTTTGTTCAAAAATATGTTCCAGACAAGCATTTTTCAATTAAGGTGAGAAGGTTTTGTTCCAGATTCCCCGATTTTAATATGTCTGAACTGATGTTGAGAATTTCAGGAATAGGGACTTTGATAAAGGGGGATTCTACATCGAAACTAAATCTTGGGTATCTAATGTAATGCTTTTTAATTGTTCAATGAAGTGAAAGGCATTAATTACGAAACTATCAGTTTTCCCTCTAAGGGATTTTAATAAGGAAGCTAGATATTTTGCTAGAGAATATGTTGAAGAACCAATTGTGCTGGACAATAGGTCGAAAAGGTAATCCTGGTTTGTGGATGTTTCGGAATCCGTAGAGCGAGGAATTTTAGAGTCATGGGGGGTAACAGATTTTTTCACGGAGTCTAATAGCCTTAATAACGGATTTAAGGTTTCGATCCATACATGGCGTAGGATCTTTTTTAAGTTGATAATCTGTTTGTAAGAATATCTTGAATCCTTTCCTGATATTCATTTGTGTCCATGACCACCATGAGAATTTCCTTAATCTGCTTTTAGGATTACGATGTCTGGATTATATTTTAGAGATTTTCGGGCAATGCGTTCAGGCTTTGCAATGTTTAATTTATAAGGTTATGATTTTTTAAGGATTTTTGCGGTTTCAAATCGAATTTCATTAGCTGTTTAAGATGGCAGTTTGTTTAGAATAGACTCGACATTTGAAATGATTTTCTCTTTTGGGATAATACGTGGGGCAAGGACGAAGTTGGAACCTTTTGAAAGAACTAATTTTTCCGAGTCTGAAAGTTGATGCGATGATACATTTATTGCAGTGTACATTTATTTCCGTTTAGTAGTTGAGAAAAGTTTGATGGTTTTCCTAGTGTTGACGTTAATTTTTCAAATTTCTGAATTTGATTTTGGGTAGTAGATAAACGAAAATTTATAGCATTCTCATGAATCATGTTTGAAAATGTATCGAAATCGGATGGGGACAAGATGGATGAAGTTTCAAGGTGTAGAGACAGAGGAGCCTTATTGATTTGGTCTATTTCCTTACGGGTATGATCAATTCTTTCTCGAAGTAAAGCGAAAATATATTTTAAGAAAATTGTGGATAACTTTATGGTCTCTACGACGTAACAAAAAGTCAGTGTACAGAGTAAGAAGGTAACAGCATGATTGGCGAAACGTCAGCAAGTTCGACTCAGCAAAAACCGACGCAGGAGGAATCCAGAATCTTTTTAAAAAGTGAAACGTTAGCTAGCTAGACTCAATAAAAACCGATG